TATGTATATATATGTATATATATGCATATATATGTATATATATGTATATGTATATGTATATGTATATATATATGTGTGTGTGTGTGTGTGTGTGTGTGTGTGTGTGTGTGATATATATATATATATATATATATATATATATATATATATATATATATATATATATATATATATATATATATAATATATATATATATATATATATATATATATATATATATATATATATATATATATATATATGTATATATATATCTATGTATATATATATCTATGTATATATATATCTATGTATATATATATATGTATATATGTATATATATTTATATATGTATATATGTATATATATTTATATATGTATATATGTATATATATATATATATATATATATATATATATATATATATATATATATATATATATATATATAAATATATATATATATATATATAAATATATATATATATATATATACACATATATATGTATATATGTATACATACATATATGTGTATATATATATGTGTATATGTGTAGGGCCAGTACTAAACCAACCATGCCACATTATTCCATCTTTCATATATATACCTCAGGATATCTGACTTCGGTTTCGAATTTCTAAATCAATTCCCACCGAGTGCTCACGGGGAGTGTGTGTAAAACCTCGCTATCTTACTCATGATGAGTAGATAGGTAATGTCTATTGGAGCTAGTTGGATCCTAGTTGCACACTCCTTTTAGTGGGTCGTGTGGCATGGTTGGTTTAGTACTGGCCCTCCGGTCTCATACCCGGAGTGACCTAGGTTCGAGGCCAGGTCAGGGAGGATTGTTATATATGTATATATATATGTATATGTATATGTATATATATATGTATATGTAAATATATATGTATATGTATATGTATATATATATGTATATGTAAATATATATGTATATGTATATGTATATATATATGTATATGTAAATATATATGTATATGTATATGTATATCTATATACATATATGTATATGTATATATATATATATATATATATATATATATATATATATATATATATATATATATATATATATATATATATATAATATATATATAAATATATATATATATAAATATATATATATATAATATATATATATATATATATATATATATATATATATATAATATATATATATATATATATATATATATATATATTATATATATATATACATATATACATATATACAAATATACATATATATACATATATACATATATACACAAATACACATACATACACACACACACACCAGAATGTAAAGGCTATTAAATGACCTTAAACATTGGTGAATAGGAGTAGTAATGGGGGACGATGGCTTGACTCTTTTATTTTCTAAGAGTACAACACACAGAGATATGAATACACACGAGTGACAATCTTAGGTTAAGGCGCAGGTCGCGCCCTAGGTCCAAGGGACATAAGTTGAGCCAACAGGCGATGGCGACTGACTCTAGTGACTGGGTCACACACAGGCCTTAAATATCTGAGACGTTGGCTAGGGGGGGCGAGGGAGCGCCCAGCTGCGTGGAGCACGCCACTTCGAGGCATGGGGGTGACCATGTGACCAGACTTGGCATGGGGGCGCGGGTGTCACGTATACATGACATACCCACTGTGAGTTTACTTATTTAATTGTTTTTACACTAAGATGGCTACACTTGTACTTGTACTGCCTGTCTCGCCTATTTACTCTTTTCTTTAAAGTATGAAAATATTTTAAGTTGGTTTTATTTTGCTGTTACTAATGTTTATATTATAGAAATTATAATGTTTATAATAAAAATACCTATTGATATTCATAGCACTAGCAAAAATACATTTTCCCACCAATTCAAGTAAAGGTGAAATCAGGTAAGGCAGAACCATCTATTGTAAAGACATTTCACAAAAAAATATAAAAAATAAGTACAGCATTTTCCCCATTTTTTGTTCATTTTTACCCGTCGTGAATGAGTTGATACACAGTATACTGCTTGGCCACCTACTAGTGCCTCTCCCTCGAGGTGCCTTAGCCTTGCCTCAATGGTGACTCAACTTAGCTGATTCTGACTTGCTAGTCCTCGATCTCGCGTAAGGTGTCCCCTGTGCATCTTCGCGCCTGCTCATCTTTGTCATCATCTTCATCCTGGTCCCTGGTAAATCCGTCCGTCCTCGACATCCACACATCCTTGAAGGTCTCGCACAGGTCCTCCATACCTGCAGATTCATCCAGACTTCCTCATAGTCCTCATCCAGGCTTAACTCGGCTCTGTGCGCTCGTACAGATGTCCTCGTAATCTTCGTCAGGATTTATGGGTGTCCTCTTCGGCATCTCAGAGCGGCTGATACCTTTGCTGTCGAGCTCCTGGAGTCTGACTGGATCTGCGGCGTCAAGCAGGCGGCGCCCGTCCACAGCACCATGGGGCGACTGGTACTTGCACTGATGAGTTCCTAGTTCTTCACTGGATCTACGGGCATCTGGGCAGGCGGTGCCCTTCCACATCCTGGGGTGGTTTGATACCTGCTCTGACAAAGATCCTGGTCTCCAGGCTTCTGGCAATCTTCTGGTGACGTTTTTCAATAGCGTCCGAAGGTGACCGTTTCTGCAGCAGGGCCTCCTTTGGTGCCGTGTCAGATATCATGAACCAAATTATACACATAAGGGCCAAGATAGTAAGAGAAAAGAAGGGCAACAGAGAAGAGGGGGTGTTAAGCGCCACTACCCAATTTTTTTATAATTTGCAGTTTTTATGGTCAAATTTTCGCTATTGTATTTATTTATTTTTTTTTTGTGTGTGTGTTTTATGTAAAGAATTCAACTGTCAAGATATAGCGACAGGGGAACATGGTTAGGGAGACAATTACAATTGTCCGCAAGGACTTGCTTGAGTTGCAATTGTCTCAGGATAGATGGAGGTGAGAATCTAATGACAGCAGCAAACCCTATTGAAGAAGGTTTCAGTGTCTTGTTCTGCGTCGGTGAGTATGTGAGTGAGTTAGTGAATGTGTGTATGTGAGTGACAATTAATGAGAGTGAGATTGACCTGACACAGAGAGGAAATGTAGCCAAACACAGAGATTGAAGTTAATTTTACCAACAATGCGACTAATTAGTTATAGACGTAATACAAAATTATTTCAACTACCATACTGAATTTAACATTATATGATATGCGACAGAATGACACATCAATGAATGGTGACATGAAAATTATTCACAAGCTCTTTCGCAAGCAAATTTTCTCAGGGAAAATTTGCCGAGGTAAATACGTAAGTATAACTGTGCATGCAGACTTCATTGACAAGAAGTCTGTACCCAAAAATACCGTACTTTACAAAGCGAAACGAGCTGGAAAAATTTATAAATAACCCACTCTATCTGTGGATCTATGATGGGCGCTCATACAATGCCCTATGGGGATTTATCATGAATCACAAATCAATGGGATTAACCCAAACATGCCAGCAACATTTAAAAGTGTGAGCAGGATGTGATTAATAAACGAATCATGAAGCAAACTTAAATCCTAGTCCTACATTAGTTTTATGGATGTAAATTGCGGGTCACATTGGCTCAAAATTTGCCAAGTGTATGAATTACTTCCGTTACTTATACCTATTTATCATTATGTCGGAATGTGGGTCTATTACGCATAAACACAACCCCAGGGTAATCAGGCACTCTGACACTATGATATGGGGGAGAATCCCTGGTGCTATACTGAAAATTATAAATGTATATGAATCGCGTAACAAGCTCTATTCTAGCGCAGATAGAACGTGTCACCAATGAACATGTAACGGTTGCTATGCCTTATCCCTATATTGTAACAATTAGAGGAAACAATTAAAAGGCGCTGGCAAGCAGTTTTCTCAGCCATTTCACTGTGTCAATCACTCAAAGTGAAAGTCAGGTCTGAGTACGCCAGCTGTTTAGGCGGCTTGACTTAATGCTTTTCACTCAGAGGTCAAGTCGAGACAGGAAATGGTCAGTGAGAAAGGGAACAAAGAGTGATGTTCATGAAAACAATCAAATCACGAACGCGCTAAATTCATTGCAATTGAAACAACATAACTCTATTTACGAGAAAAATTAAATAAATCCTAAATAAATGAATGATATTCATAATGTTTGACTCCATATCGCAATTAACAGTAATGAAATGTGAGGTCAGAAGAATGAGAGCATGCCATTTGTTGTCAATTAGCACTTTAAACCAACAAAAACCCAACGTGAGCATGACTGCACATACGGCTTTATACATTTATGGGAGAAGATAGAGAAGGAAAGGAAAAAAAGGCCCAAAATGTGTACTACTCACAGCATTTTTTTGAAGAGAGATCATCGTGGTAATCAAGCGGTAATTCGGAGAGCTGCGTGCCCGAGTTGCGAGCCAAAGGACGCAACAACCACCTCTGCCACCAAAATGTAAAGGCTATTAAATGACCTTAAACAGGCCTTAAATATCCGAGACGTTGGCTTGGGGGGCGAGGGAGTGCCCACCCACGTGGGGCACGCTACTTGAGGCGTAGAGGTGACCACGTGGCCAGACTTGGCGTGGGGGCGCCTATACATGGTTAGTACACAGTATAGTGTGTGTGTGTGTGTGTGTGTGTGTGTGTGTGTGTGTGTGTGTGTGTGTGTGTGTGTGTGTGTGTGTGTGTGTGCCTATGTGTGTGTGTGTGTGTGTGTGTGCCTATGTGTGTGTGTGTGTGTGTGTGTGTGTGTGTGTGCCTATGTGTGTGTGTGTGTGTGCCTATGTGTGTGTGTGTGTGTGTGTGTGTGTGTGTGTGTGTGTGTGTGTGTGTGTGTGTGTGTGTGTGTGTGTGTGTGTGTGTGTGTGTGTGTGTGTATGTATGTACATACATAAGTATGTATGTATGTACATACATATGTATGTACGTATGTATATATGGATGTATGTATATATATGTACCCATAAAAAAAAAAATAAATAAAAAATAAATTGCATATTTCCTTTTCTTATAATTTTTTTTTTAAACCAATGTCAGCAGGTTTGTGTACTGTCCCCTTTAGATTTTAGTGAGTTTTGTTACATACAGATGACTCCATGTGTGCTCAGCAACAAGGAGTCTATGAGTTGGCCCTAGTGACTTATCTTGATTTTCGTATTCCTTGAATGGCAGAAAAAGATATTTTTCTTTCCAATACTATTAATATTGACATTATTACCATTCTTATTGATATTATGGTTATTAAAGTGTTACTAAAATATTAATAACATTTAAGACTATAAACAAGTACTGATAGGATAATAATGGGAAAAACAAAATTAAACTGTAAAATACATACCAGGTAATGTTGGAGATGCAGCTTGTGGTCTTATCTCTAGATTTGAATCAACAGTTGAATCCGTCGTATCTGCTGAAAGCCGCAACTCTCTCTGGATGGTCTTCTTCATGTCAGCCAGCCTCTGTCCTTGTATCTTGAGTGCCTAAGTAAAGGTTCATCCTTTCATTTAAAATAATCCTGAATACAGTTAAAATTTCTGCTGACTAGCAAATGAAATCACAGAGAGGAAAAGACTTAATCTAATGATTGTACTATATTACAGCAAGGCTTTCACATATAGACATTCTGAAGCTTATTTCCAGTAAATTCTGTCTGGCTGCTCTATCATTTTATAACTAATTTTGTTTGTGCACTTTTCCTCCAGTTTATAGCAATTCTCAATGCTGCACACACTATAGTAGTTAATGCTGTGTATCTTCTGCCAGCAGACACTACTTGAACCAAAGAGTAAATGGTTATGAATACTATTACACACACTGTATTCATTTGAATGCCTCAAATGAGTTAAATATGAGCACTTCATGGAAACTGTTCAGAATGTGGTTTTACAATTTTACAAGTGAAAAGTAGGCCTCAGCAACAATAGCATGCTTGCTGTAAGATCTTAAACAAAGCAAGCTTGAAGACTAATGAGCAGTCTGAGGGCAAGAAAATTCTCACCTGTCTTTTTTCTCCAAGTTCATTTTCATAATTCTTGATGCTTTGCCGAAGGTCAATAACCAGCTGTGATTCTTCTATCTTGTGCACAAGATCCTCCTCTGAGCAACTCAGTTTTTCTCTCAAATCCACACATTCCTGCTGCACATTTCTTAGATCTTCCGTTAACTTTGAAATTTCCAAGGATGTCACTTTCTTTTCCTCTTCTAATTTCTTTGCAGTTTCTTCCAAGGCAGCTACTTTTTCTACATAGTCATCAAGATTTTGAGATAATCTAAGCTTCTCTCCAGTTACTGTTTCTAATTTAGATTGGCTATCGGATAAACTCTTTTCTAGGTTCTGGACTGATGCTCTCTCTTGTTGCAGTGCTTCTTGGAGGGTTTTATTTTCGTTTTGTGAAACTAGCACATCTGCCTGAGTAGCAGTTAAAGTATCTTTAACACCTGCAAGCTCTGACTCTATACTACTGTTCTTAATTTCCAGGTTCAGCAAGCTTTCTTTTACACTCCTGTGAAGTTTTTCCTCTTCTTCCTGAAAAGGATAAAATATCAGGCAAATTGCTTTGGATTTAATTAAAGTTGGTTAAACATAGTGCATACTGCCAATGTCTCCAAAAGCTTTTCAGTTCAATAAAACAATATACAAACACTGCCTATACATCTTGTACTATCAACCAACTCAGATTTATATATTTGTCACCATTATCAGTACTGTTTTACTCACAAGTTTTCGTGAGAGCATTGTTATTTGTTCGCTCTTCTCGGCTGTGGTATTGGTGAGTTGCCACTGCAAGGTCTCAAGATCTTCCTTTTGTTGCTTAATTTCACTTGATAATTTCTTCTCCAATTCTGATTTTTCCAAATCTAAGATTGCATTTTTGTCCTTCAAGGCACTTAATTCTAATGTCAGTGAATGATTTTCCTTTTCTGCTTTCTGCTGATCCATCTATAAACAGAAAAAGAATCATAATGCTGGGGGTTAATTCTAAAACTATATCAAAAGCAGTTTTGCTAAAAAGCTTTACAGGCTTGAAAAAACTTATTAACACATTTATTGAGTACATACACATTTCACTTCACATACCTGATCCTCTGCAATCTTTGAATTAAGGTTCTGAATCTGATTCTCCAGGGTTGTTATCTTTTCACTCCATGAAGCTTTTATGTTGGTAAGCTGCTGTCGTGCTTCCTCCAGCTGGTGTTCCATACATTCTCTCTTAAAGACATAAAAAGGAATATGTTAATAATATCTACCTTAACCTTGCCTACCTTCACTTCATCCTCCTACAGTCCAGATGATGTGATCATCATTTCATGAAAAAAATTGGTTTAGGGTTGGGGAACATGAACATGCAGTCATGGAAAAATTTGGCTTTTGCCAGGGTGACAGGAACTTGCCGTCATGAGAAGGCTGGGATGAAGCTCTTAAAGGGTGATTACTAAGTGGCCATTTAGGGAGGGGCCATTACATTATTCCTATCAGTAAAATGAGTGTGGAATGTGCCATCTGTGAGCCATGACTGAAAGAGCACTGGCTCCAGGGAGGACACTATTTCCATGCCCAGGTTGTATTATGAAATATTTAATATTGTGAGAAAGATTAAATGACACAAATAACTAATTGTTACTATTATTGCACTTAGCTATGGATTACCTAGGGAAATCCTATGGAGTCTGCAAGGAACACAGTCTACTACCCCCTAGAGATAATAACATTGCAAAGGGGAGGTAAGTCTTGTTCATGTGCACCCAGCCTACCTACAAACCACACACCCATGAGTGGCCACTCAAGTAAATCTAATGCCCAGAATTTGGGCCACATGCAGGCAGTGAAGCACACAGATCAGAGGGGTCAATCTTTAATTTTTTTCTTCTTGTTCTCCCTCTCTCTTTTACGTTTGTGGGTGGGAGTGGGGTGGGGAGTTGAAGCTTAGTTTTGCTTAGTTACAAATTCCCAGGCAAATGTCAGGTTACATGTAAAGAAAAATATTGTATATTTAGGGATGAACTGTTAATGTTCAAATATTAATCATGATGTCATTGTTGTGATAGAGGGAGCTCTCTAGGGCAAGATGCCATCACATCATGACATCACTTATATTTGACATTTTATATAATACAGAAGTAATATACAAGTGATCCAATCAAAATTCTAATGATGAGTGGTTCAATCAGTGTAAAACAACTAACTGGTGTCAACACATCATTGATAACATTCCCCTTGACTATATTGCATAACTGCTACTTCAATCATGATATTACTCCACACAAATGGAACTGGTGATGGCCACTCCTTTGGATCACTTAATTAACCACAGATACAGCTATAGCATCATTAACCCCTTGGATCTGGTTACTTCACAACAATCTCATGGACCAAAATATGGGTATTAGGCTTACATGGGTGGCCCCTCTATCAGTTGTGGCTTGTAGGCCAGGCGCACACAAATACTTATTTGCAGTGACAAGACTCTATGCTTCCTATTTGCAATGTTATTTTTTCTTTTTTTGCATAAACGATTCTGGCTTTTTTTCAATCTTCCAATGTCTATATTTATCATTTGATTTGCATTATCCAGATGGTAGTAGACTTTTCTTTGTACAGACTCCATATCATCTCTCTAGGTAATCTATAACTTGATGCAAGAAATATAAAAATTATTAAAAATTTGTTATTTGTGTAGTTTTGAAAAATTCTTTTAACATTAAATTTTCTGTAAGAAAAGAGATGCTGGCTAGATGCACCTAGCTCAGGAATGTACTTATAGTGTAACCAAACTGGGAGACTGAAGGGCCAGAGGTGGCTCAGGGACTTGAGCTGTCTGTATAATGAAAGAGTGACTTATTTTGGTATCCTTTTGCAGGCCTTAAAATTTTTGAGGCTAACTTTTTCAGATATCTGAGTATTAAGAACCTGCACAATGCTCCAAGCTAAAATGAAAATCATAACAAAAAACACTAATACCTCTTTAATCAAGGCCTGCACTTTCTCTGTCTCTTGCAGATTGGTCTGTGAATGTCTCTGCTCTAATGTGATGACTCTGTTCTGGAGGTGGCTCACTTCCTCAGACTTTGTTTCCTCCAGGGATGTGTACCTGTTTAGGTAATGAAACAATTATCACTTTTAAATAAAGGTAGTATTTACTTCAACAGCATTTACTTAACCCATTCGCGGCGGGCGTCACATATATGTGACAGGCCCACTGTGAGTTTACTTGTTTAATTGTTTTCACACATAGATGGCGACACTTGTACTTGTACTGCCCGTCTCGCCTGTTTACCCTTATCTTTAATTTATGAAAATATTTTGTGTTATCTTATTTTGCCGTTACTAATGTTTATAACATTATAGTAATTATAATGTTTATAATAAAAATAACTATTGATATTCATAGCACAAGTAAAAATACTTTTTGCTGCCAATCCAAGTATAGATGAAATCAGGTAAGGCAAAGCCATCTAGTGTAGAGAAATTTCACAAAAAAACATAAAAAATGAGCACAGCATTTTCCCCATTTTTTGTTCATTTTTACATGGCGCGAATGGGTTAAAGAGAGAAGGAGAAGGAGAGAAGAGAAGGAGAGAAGGAGAAGAGAGAGGGAGAAGGAGAAGAGATTATGCTATAATTATGGAAACTTACCTGACAGAAAGTGCATTGAGCTTGTGAGAAAGGCTGGTCACCTGTCCCTCTAAAGAAGTTTTATCTTCACTAAGAGCTCTGATTCGTTCCTCTAGTGTGTCTACCATGTTTAATCTGGACTCAGTAGCGATGAGGGCATCTGTCTTCTGTTTAAGTTCTGCCTTTGTTTCCTCTAGTTCACTGTTTGTGTTCAGCAGCTGAAGGGCATAATACCATTAAATCATCTTATACATTTAAAGCAAAAATGTAATACACAAACAAAATTAAAACATCTAAGCAAAGAAATATAATACATAAGAGACAGTTTCTATTATTTTATATCTTACCATATGTTTGATTTTTGCAACCTCCTGAGTGTTTA